ACTCTCAGTGTAAGGTTAGATAAAGGTTGGGCTAATTCACTTATGAGTGTTGTGATTTTAGCTCACTAAATATGGTTTTACAACTTGTTGAACAATTTTGAGGTGGTGACAAAGATTATACACTGTTTGATGTTAGATATTATTGACAGTGCGTTGTCAGCTGTAATAGACTGTGTTGTCAGATATAGACTGTGTTTTTTAGATATAACAGACTGTGTTTTTTAGATATAATAGACTGTTGTTAGATAACACACTCTGTTGATATAATAGACTGTGTTGTCAGATATAATAGACTGTGTTGTTAGATATAATAGACTGTGTTGTTAGATACAATTGACAGTGTTGTTAGATATAATAGACTGTGTTTATTAAGATATAATAGACTGTGTTGTCAAATATTATAGACTGTGTTGTTAGATATAATAGACTGTGTGTTGTTAGATATTATAAACTTTGTTTTCTTTGCAGGTGTCAACTATTGGATTAGATGAATCTGGTGAGACTTGTACTGAGTGTGGCAAGGTGACCAAGAACATGAAGCGCCACATGGAGCTCCATCAACAAAACAGAATGCAGATACCATGTCCTATTTGTTCTAAGGTATACTTTAAGTCTTGTAGATACCATGTCCTATTTGTTCCGCATCTAGCATTTAAAAAATGACCATACAAAGCTGTGAATGTCAATGAATACTAGATATCTTGTGAAGTAAATTGTGGCTGATCATTATATTGGATACACTATATCCTCTTAGTCTGTTATACTATCTATATAGCATCTCTTTACGGACATACTAATGTAGCTATTATGTCAGGTATAAAATTTTATTTTCTAAACTTAGTAACTTATTCATGGTAAATGGTCTTAAGAATGTGTTTAAATATTTATCAGCATTACAAGTTTTCCTAAGTTCAAAAAGATTGTCATTGTGCAAGCTGTAACTTGAAGAATTCATTTACCACATATGCATATAATCCTTTTGATTTCTTTATTGCATCACTTGATGCCCCACTGCTGCATTTTTTGATTCCATGCATAAGAATGATTAGGCCAACTTGTTAAAGAGAATCTCTCTCTATTTCTTGAACTGCAGGTAGTTTTGAAAACTGGCATGAGCTCTCATATGAGGACAGTCCACTCTGGTCGTAAACCTTACAAATGTCCACATTGTGACTACGCCTCTGCATTCAGAGGAAATCTTAATACCCATATAAAGGTAAGTCAAAGTTGCAGTAGCAGACTGCCTGAGTTATTTAAATGGAGCTTTAAACTGATTTTAAGTTGATTTACCTCAAAGTTTTAGTAGTAGACTGTATGTCTCATTTAAATGGAGCTTTAAACTGGTTTTAAGTTGATCTTGATTTATCTCACTGTATAAAGGTCTAAAGACATAAAATAATAGAAAACGCTATTTGATCTTTCTAGTTAGTTATATAAAATAAATTAATTAAACTATGCTCAACCTTCTGGGTATTATTCCTCTCATTTTCTGGTTGTGTTTATATGGGTTTTTGAAATGTACAAAAGTTGTGTATCTATTTTAGGGCATGCATCTCCACACTCGTCAATACCTCTGCAATACTTGTAAGGCTGCTTTTAAAACCCTGGGGGCTCTGATTGGACACACCAAAAGGGTGCATGAAAACTGGAAGTCTCCCAACCAGAAAATCTTTATTTGCTCTGTGTGTGAGAAGCGTTTTACCAAAAAGTACCATGTGGATAGGCACATGTTGATTCACACTGGAGAGAAGCCCCACAAGTGTACAGACTGTGGCAGATGTTTCAATAATAAGTCGAACTTAATGTCACACATACAACTGGTAAGATCAACTGATTTAGTATCACCCACACACACACACATTTTTTATATATATATATTTTTTTTTATTTATTTAATTTTGTTTTATTTACATTTTCATTTGTAGATTTAAAAAAGAATTCCATCTGAAATGCAATACAATGCAGTAGTTGTTCCTTAAAAATTTGTTTTATCTATACAGTTTGACTTGCCTTGAAATTAGAAGACAATTATTCAATGACTACTTTGTCTCTTTTATTTCTAAATTACTATGCGAAATATCTAGTTAAACATTTTTTAAAATTTGTCTTTTAATATGGTACTTTGTTTTTGTTATCAGTGACTAAACTGTAATCATGTGCCTGTAATGTTCCAGGTTCACAAAAAACTGTCCCCATATATGTGTGATATGTGCCATGAAACTTTCAAACGCAAGAAATTGCTCCTTGAGCACATTGGCAAGATTCACGTCTCTCACGGTGAAGCTGCCAAGGCCATGCAGGCCTACATCAGGAAAATTGAAGAGGCTGGGGATGACGATGACGATGAACTGGGTCACCACACCATCACCATTGCCCCTGCTGGATCGTCTCACCATGACGACGATGGAACTACAACAGTTTATGCTCAGGTATGCTGTGGCCATCATAAAGATCTTCTATTCCCCCCCCAATCATTAAGTTGTTTTAGCTGAGCTAGAAACATATTCAAACATCATTTGAATAGTGTCTTATGCTCACTGTATTTCTAGGTTTGGGGGGCTTTGCTATTTAGAATGAATAACTTTTTTTTAACATATATGTGTTTTGACAATAAGAGTTGCTAATTTCTTTGATTATAATATTTAGTTTAAAATAGTCATGAAAACAAGTCTAAGAGATGGGCTTCCAGTCTTGATATACATTTAGTTTTTTAGTCAAACTTTAAACAAATGTGAAGCCATAGATATGATATTGAATTATATATGTTAATAACTATCTTGAGTAACTTAGATTGTTAGAAATTTTAAAAAAAAATATACAGTATAGACAAATTATAATTGAATAAAATTCTTTTTTATAATATGAATTTTTGGAATTTGCCTATGTGTGGATCGTCATCATCTATGTCATTATCAGTTTTGATTGTTGCTTGTTTTTTTTTTTGTGTGTGTGTGTTCAATAGTTTTGTTTTCTTACTATGGAACTCTAGTGTGAAATGTTTGACTTGCAGGTGTCAGATGGCACATATCAAGCAATGGTTGGTGATGCTTCTCATGTGTTACAAGGACAGACCTTCACCACCCTTCAGACAGATGGCGGTGAAGAGACAATTATTATTGTGCAGGCCGCAGATCCCAATGAGGTGACCCACGCTATTGTGGAACAGGACGGGCCTGTCCAGTTCGCCATGCAGCCAGACGATAACCCCAACTCTGAGGGTCAAAGTTTTATCACTATGTAAAGGTAGGGTAGAATCCTTACAATTTGCTTTTTTTTTAGATTTCTATAAAATGATAACACTAATGCCAGCATTGACAAAACAGTACAATTTCATTTGAACTAGAAGTATTAGAAATAAATGACAAAGAAATTAAAAAATACAATGCAACTAAAAAGTTTTAACTCTTTTCATAACTCAGTAAACAATACAGAAATGCAAAACATTTTTTTAAAAATTGGGGCTATCTTTATTATTGTGACAAGAATAATAAAAATTATAATTGAAAAACTTTAAGGGTGACCTGGCAATAAAACAATCCTCTAATCAGTGGCCGTAGTAGTCAGTGTTGGTAATGGGACTAGAGTAAAGTTTCCTCTCACAAAATGTAACTGTGTTGACTGGTCATTGCCCCAGATGTTGTTTTTCCTCTGTATTTAACGTTGTGTTCTTTTAGGAAGAAACAAATCTTTGACCCCAGCAGCTATGTTTGTATTTTCGGTGGCATTCACTCATTCCAAAATGTCCAGATTCTGAGGAAATCCCCTCCACTCCTTCCTTTTCCCCATCCTGTTAAAGTGGATTCTTTTTGTTCTTTTTTTTTTTGTTGTCGTTAAGTTTGTGTATGCTGTATAAAAACTAGTCTTGATTGTTTGGTCACAAAAAAACTATTGTTCAAATATATTTTTGATGGTGCAACTTTCATGCTAATAGCAGTGCCCTACTGTCAAATCTCTTGTGTGGGGGAGGGGGTATGTAGGAGAAGGTTTGAGTACTGCCTTTAGGCAGACACTCAATCAACATAACTCTGCCTGGGTTGAGCTTCAAAACTTGAGCCACCTTGATATGTAGCCAAGCGCCTTCGTAGCTAGCCAAACTGTTTAAGCCTCTCAACCACACATCCCACAGATTAAGAAAAGGAATCCATTTGTTTTTAGCAGTATTTGTGGTTATAACATTTAATATGGTATTTAACCATCCATCAATTAATTTTTTGTATTCTATCACGTCATTCTTAGGTGTTTCAAGAAAAAATTTTTTTTTTTTGATTTTCAGAAATCCAAGTTTCATGCAATAAGGAAAGAATGCAAGAAGGTTTTGTTTCAGTTCATTCACACAATGTTTGCAATGATTCTCTTTCTGAACCTATTAGTTGGATGGTGACATTGTCTCTTGAATCAAAGTGTGTATGGAGTCTATTGTCTCTTGAATCAAAGTGAGGAGTCTGTGTATGAAAGCTTATGTCTCTCTCTATTTATATATACATATATATATATATATATATATATAATGTTTGTACATTTAAACATTATTAACCATTTCTTTATTATGATAAACATTTTTTTTGGTACCTATCAAATGACAAAAAAAATATTGTCAGCCTGGTGTATTGAACAATCTTCTCTGAACAACTTGGCTTCACAATTGTCACCAGGTTTTGTAGTTGAAGGTATTCATTCCAGCCTAGGATCAAGTCTAGAAATACTTTGGTTCAGTTGCAATGAAAGGAGTGTCACATTTTGTGTCAGGGATTGTGGTACATTCTTTTGTGTCATTCTCTATAATTGTGCTCAAAGATAGGATTAGATTAGGACCTTACCTTATCTTCACATCCAAATGCTCTGTTTATATTTCAAGGATAGGATTAGATTAGGACCTTATCAATCTTGACAGCCTAATGCTCTGTTTATATTTCAAGGATAGGATTAGATTAGGACCTTATCAATCTTGACAGCCTAATGCTCTGTTTATATTTCAAGGATAGGATTAGATTAGGACCTTATCAATCTTGACAGCCTAATGATCTGTTTATATTTCAAGGATAGGATTAGATTAGGACCTTATCAATCTTGACAGCCTAATGATCTGTTTATATTTCAAGGATAGGATTAGATTAGGATCTTATCAATCTTGACAGCCTAATGCTCTATATCAGTTGATAAAATTGATTTGTCAGGACCACATCAAATATTGATAGTTTGATGAATGTCTTCTCTCAATGGAAGGGAGATCATTTCAATTGTTTGTTAACTACATAGTTAATTGGTCTGAAGTTTTTCTTGTAAACATTTTTCTGATAAGACAGTGCTGAATACAAGCATTTTTAGAAGATACTGAATGATTCTTTTGAAAAATAACTTTCTATAAGTTTTATTTTGTTGGACTTTTTTTTCAATAAGCTTTCTAGACTTGAATAGAGAGACACATTTTGTGAAGTAAGAATTGCACGTCTGATCTGATTAACAATAACCTGTAGTGTTGATCTGTGTCAAACTCTTGTGTTATTTCTGTTCAAATTGTTTTCTTTGAAGTCAATCTACAAGGCTAGTTGTGTATCACTGGGTCAGTGATCTCATTTTAAGAACCTTTGCTGTGTTTCCTAATATCTGAAGCTATTGGGCTCAGTGTATATGTGTGCATATCATTGGAGTCACTGTGTGTGAAGAAGGGACTCCCTGTCCATGTTGACTTCGTCTATAGTAAGATGATAAATGTTTTAAAATGTTTTCCCCTGTACATAGCAAACAGTTGATAGATTGATTTACTTTGACTATATGTTTTGTTTTATATCTTTACCATTGAGTTTCATCATTTTTTTGTATGAAGTTTATGTGTTTTTTTTTGTTTTTTTTTAGTTTGTGCTCTGTGGGTCTCATGTTTCACTGAAATGTCCCTGTAGATACAGTTTGTGTTTTGTGACACAGGACTAACATTGATGTATGTTCCGTTGTTGTTGTTTTTTTAATTTTTTTTTATTAAACATGAGATTCTGTCTTGAAAATATGACTGTCCCAGTTCATGAAAAAAACAATTAATTCCATTATTTTTTTGGGTTTTATGTTTATGAATGCAATCTCTAAGATGATTTGTATTAGGTTTAGACAAAACTTGTCTGGGACATTCCAACATTCCATGTCGCCAGCATGTCTGTGGTCAACAGCCTGATGGTGTTAGTTTGGCTGGGATGTCTACCACTCTGTGTACTGTTGTGAATGTAGTACCCTCTGAATGTAGTGTGTGTCGGTGACACTGAAGGGGATGGCATCTAGTAGGTAATACACGGATGTCATTGATGTTAGAGTTACCTCCCTTGTCTCATTGAATAATGTCCTTTATATGTTAGTCCCTTTAACGTGGATGTCTTGATTGTTTGTAACTGTTTTGATTGTATTTAGGTCAGTGCATAGTCCATGTGTTAATAAAAGTATAATCAGTAGAATTTGTTTCTGTGTATTATGTTGAAGTCTTTACCTAGAAAAGGAAAAAAAAAATACATTGACATTTGTTTCTATTTGAAAGCCAACAAGAATGTGTAGCCAGCATGTTGACCTAAATGGCAGCCTAGTCTTGTGTACAATGGTTTCAAGTTCAAACCTGCATTTTACAATTTCTTGCCGTCCTACAAGGTTTGGACTAGGATGTAATAATCTTCCTTTCTGAAAACATTTTTTAAATGCCAAAAAACTTGTAAACCCCCCCCCCCCCCCCCCAAGAAATAGCTAACCCGGCACATAATAACATAGAAAGACTAAGACACCTTCCACTTATATGAGCCAGAGCTTGCAGATAGCTTTCAGTGAATACCATGGCCAACTGTTGTTGCTGTTGCTTCTGTACTTGCTGGGGACTGTCACTATCTCTGTGGCCTCCTTCAGTCGCGAAGCGACTATGGATCGTCTCATGGAAATGAGATCAATGATTGGGCATTAGCTGTGATCGGAACGATGTCGCCCACACATCAGTTCCCCCCACTCCACGCAGCTGATGTATCCAAAGGAACGGCAGTGCCAATGCAGTTAGGGGTCAGCGGCGTCGCAGGTTCTGCCAGAGTGTAGCACTGGGTGTTTAGGGTTGACTCCCGAAGCCTTTCCCATGATTGGGTATAGCTGCAAGGCAACAGAGGTTTGAATTCAGAGTTGTCCTTCTCCTAGGAGGGTAGCCAGCCATGGCTGACGAGCCCCTCCTGCCCGAAGCTGACTGGTTAAGGCGCCAGTTGCTCGCCTTTGTCCCTTCTCCTGTTAGTGAGAACAGTTCCGCCGGACTCAATCTCTGAGCCAGACGTTGGACTGGCAGTCAGAGGCTATTTGAGACGCATGCCAATAGGAAGCATTTTATAGGTAGTGGAGTGCTTACATCGATTACCACTTCCGGCAATGACAACCTTCCGAACCCTGGGGCTATCAACCTGTCACAATCAAGTGTTAAGGGTTTGTTATCTATCAGCATCACAGATCATTTCTAAATGACTGCTTAGACTACACACGTGATCTCTGTGTCCTCGGTCATTAGCGAATTTAATACTTAGCCTTTAGTCCATCAGTTAAGCACACCACCGAAGGAAATATTATCGACAAGGGGAAAAAAAACCACACACACTCAAATTATAATACTACAACTAAAAGTAGCAATAACTTGATGTAGCACAGTATCATTTTCTCACCTCATATCTGCTATTAAAAAGTATGTTCATTAAAGTTCTATTAACCCGATTTAATAAGCATTAAACTACATGACAAAAGTCAATCTCACTCTTTCTGTGATGTCTTATATCTTGTGAGAAAAACCAAGGCCTAGTTTTTTTTTTATATAAATATTTGACCCAGCTTTCAGCACGTGAATGTCTCGCTCAGGTAGCTTCTTTTAACAAGTCTCAGATTTAGACATAAGAATAAAAAGAAAATGTGGTCCAAAGGTGAGCCGGGAAAGTTGCTAGCAAGGCGTTGGCAGATTAATTCCTATCACTGGCCTTCAGGTAATCTTACCTAGACCTAGGTCAGTGGCATTAGCTTGTTGCCAACTTTGAGAAGGTAAGTGGATTTTTATTTATGACACTTCAGTTTATTTCTGCTTAACTTACATTGGAACTAGTCTACACACCCCGTCAATGTAACATTGTATTCGGTACTTGCTTGTTGAGTTTGAATACAAAATGTAAAGTGAAGGTATTTTGTCCATGTGGCCAGTACATTCAAAATAGCTTAAATCTCATGCTTTAAATTCTGTTTCAGGTTCCGTTGGAATAAGCTAAAAACTCTTAAACATTTAACTAAAGCTTCCACTTGCTGTACAAATATAGGTGTATGGACGTATACATAAATTGCTTAAATTACATAATAAAAATAAACGATTGTTTACATTATTGGAAGTAGATGTGAGCCTAGTTTTTGCACATTTTAGGCCTAAATCAACTATTTCCGTCTGTCTGGTAAAAATTTTGAAAACGTTTTTTTTTCTCCTACACCAGTTCTCAGATAAAGTTTTGGACAATCATTTATTGGCGTAGACAATAACGGAATCAATAAAAAAAATTAGTCAGTTAATTATTAGTAATCAATTATTTTGTTTGATATCGAACCTCTACATTATTAATATGTATATTTGTAAATGTGGAGTTCTTCCCCTTAAATAAGCTTAGTTTAAAAAAAAAGTATTTGTATATTTTGCTTGTTTACAGTTCAAATTCTTTGTTCTATTTATTATAGTGTACAATGTAGTTCTTGAGAAACTTTAAAAAAAAAATAATTAAAAAATCAATAGCTCCGCTTACTTTATATAGAAATAAAATTGATGCCTAGATATGATAGTAACAATAGACATCAAGTAAGCTGTTCAAACATATGCATAACATGTAAGCTGTTCAAAAATATGCATATGCTTACTGAGCATGTTAATAAAACAAAGCGTGTGTGTGTGTGATTAGATAATGAAGTAGATGACACTTCTTTCATCTTCGCAGAATCCATGAATGTGTCGTCGTGACGGTCGTGTGCAGGTCTACTTTCCAATTAGACGAGAACTACCAATCTTATCTTATCTTATTCTGCTCTTATCTTAAAAAGAGCTGTCATCTCCGAGTGATTAAAATAATTGTTAAATACAACTTTAAAACACAACTTTAAATATAACTAATAATATAACTTTTTTAAATAAAGGCCTAACTTTAAATATAACCTTAAATGTAATTTTTAACTTTAAAGATCAATGTAACTAGCCTTCTGTATAACTCTAAATATAAAAAAAACTTAAAATATATCTTTTAATGTAAATTTAAATATCTATAATTTTCAATATAACATTAAATATAAATTAAAATATAACATTAGATATAAATTTACACACTAGCACAAATATAGCTTTAAATATAACAAACTTTAAATATAACTTTGTTATGTAACTTAAATAACTAATTTTAAATATAACATTAAATGTAAATCTACATATAACATTAAATTATGATTAAATATAAATTTAAATTAACTTTAAATATAAATCTACATATAACATTAAATTATGATTAAATATAAATTTAAATTAACTTTAAATATGAATTGATATATAACTATAAATGTAACTTTAAATATAACTAACTTAAAATATAACATTAGATATTAATATAAATGTAACTTTAAATATAACAAAGTCTGTATTCACAGGCGGTCTCTTTAATTGTTCTTTTCCTCTGCGCCCCCATGTCTTCAATAAGAACTTTTCTTTGGGTCTCAAATGTGGTAGCCGTGGCCATTGTGAGAGCTCTCCATCTGTCTTTTTCAAAGGCCACCCGCTGCAAGATACGTTCCCCTATGCCAGTGAGGGCGAAATAGCGCCTGAGTTGATCTTTATGACGCTTATGGGAGCACCTGTCACACCGCCCTCCTCTATGCACGCTAAAGAAAATCGCATTTGGCATGCGGTCGTCTCCCATGTGGGATAGGTGTCTGACCCAGCGCAGCTGTCGAATGGCAATCATACCAAACGGCCCATTGAGGAACGGTGCCGGGACTGTTGACAAGGTTGTGGGAGCTCTTTTACAACCCCGCACAGTGTAATGTGAATACTCTCGCACCTCTAAGCCACTCCCTCGGGAGTCCTGTTTCGCTACCTGTTTCTTCTTACGGCCGTTTTCACCAGGGCTTCACTATGCGTCAGGGTTGCATACCCGGGTACCGCACGACCAGGCAGTATGATTGAATACAAGAAGATATATTACCATTCTAAAACCTGCTTATAAACTACACCACCTCTCCCCACAGACCTAATGACCACATCTCCCCCACATACCTAATGACCACATCTCCCCCACAGACCTAATGACCACCTCTCCCCACAGACCTAATGACCACCTCTCTCCACAGACCAAATGACCATCTCTCCCCACAGACCTAATGGCCACCTCTCTCCGCAGACCAAATGACCACCTCTCCCCACAGACCAAATGACCACCTCTCCCCACAGACCTAATTACCACCTCTCCCCACAGACCTAATGACCACCTCTCCCCACAGACCTAATGACCACATCTCCCCCACATACCTAATGACCACATCTCCCCACAGACCTAATGACCACATCTCCCCACAGACCTAATGACCACCTCTCTCCACAGACCAAATGACCACCTCTCCACACAGACCTAATGACCACCTCTCCCCACAGACCTAATGACCACATCTCCCCCACATACCTAATGACCACATCTTCCACACAGACCTAATGACCACATCTCCCACAGACCTAATGACCACCTCTCCCCACAGACCTATTGGCCACATCTCCCCCACATACCTAATGACCACATCTCCCACACAGACCTAATGACCACCTCTCCCCACAGACCTAATGACCACCTCTCCCCACAGATCTAATGACCACCTCTCCCCACAAACCTAACGGTAAGACGTTAATACCATTGATCACCAATTCACCAACTCTTTTTGGTTTACAGTGGATAGTGGGAATAAAGTAAAAAACAAACAAACGCCCCCTTATCTTATCTTATATACTACAGACGTTACTTCAAAAAAAGAAGATGATTACGTCCTAAGCGTCATGCATTTAGTCATGCATATTAACCAATGACTTCAATTCTGCCAAGTCACTGGTTTTCCTGGCTGGTTCAGGCAACCCATTCCATGCTCTAATAGCACTAGGGAAGAAGGAGTATTTGTACAAATTTGTCCTAGCATATGGAACGAGGAATGTGCCTTTGTCTTTGTCTCTTTCAGAGTATTTTATTAAATTTTGTTTTTGTATTTGAAGATTATGGTTCAGTGTTTTATGTATAATTGCTACTTTACTTTTGAGTCTTCTGTCCTGAAGGCTTTCTAAATTTAGTAATTTAACCAAAGGTGTTACTCTAGTCAAGTGTGAATATTCGTTTGTTAAGAATCTCAGTGCTCTATTTTGTGTCTGTTCCAGTTTCTTAATGTTTTCTTGAGTTGA